ATGGGGAGGTGCGCTGACAGTTGACTCTGATCAGGCTGATGAAGCTGCAGCATCACTTAGGGCTCATCATGCAGCCAAGTTTTCAGTATTAAGTTACAAGCGGCGGGTGTGAAAGATACACACTCATGCAGATGTGGAGCGAAGGTGTGCAACGTTTTGTGGCACCCGGACGCATGGATATCAGCACAAAACTAGAGAGATATAAGATACAGATACACACGGAAACCCTTCAGCATACACTCCTGCGAGATCTCAGTTGTAAGGAGGGATCTCTGGCTCTTCTCAGCCAGGAAATGAACTGTCAAAAAGCTCTAAGTGGCCACATACTAACACCTGGACTCTGCTCCAAGTGCTTGAAAGAGAGACCAGATGAAGCTTCTGTGTAACTTCTCCGCTCTCTGCATCGGAGCGGCTCAGCCGACTGCGCCATAAACCATCTTCTTTATTCTTTTTAATTTACAGCCAAAGCCATGCTCTGTGGTTAAATATAATGTCAGCCTCCAGGCACAGTGGAGTATATTTCAAAATGTCTGGCTTCTGTATCTGCTTAAATGCTACTTTGAAAATATTCCGTGAGCCAGCAGAGGCGTGTATGCCCGCCTCCCCTTAGTAGTAGCCATACTTTGTGTGTGTGTGTGTGTGTGTGTGTGTGTGTGTGTGTGTGTGTGTGTGTGTGCGTGCGTGTGTGTGTGTGTGTGTTTGTGTTCGTACCGCATGTGTGCTACATAAATATGTTGCTCACTGCAGTTCCATTTCATAGCATGTAGGTTTCTCCTACTGTGAGCTGAGAGCTTTGAAACACTGCTTTTGTTTACCAGTGACTCATCCATGAATTTATGCAATGACCCGTCCATATTATGCATGCATCGTATACCATCCAACTATAACCAATTATAGTATCATATCTCATGTATTGTCTTACGAAGTATATAATGCAGCCACTTTGTTTGAGTTTGCAAATTACAATCAAACTTCAAACGAACGTGTTCAACTATGAGCGAACAAGTGGCGCTCGAGATCCTTATCATCCAATGAGGAATAAAGATGTTTCTTTGTACCTCCTAAAAAATGCTTCTACGTCCAATACGTCGGTTCATGTGAAGGGCTCGGGTAAGAGGCCCTTGGAAAAGAAAGGCAGCCTTTCTTCGCTCATTTGCTCCCTCTCCTCATTTCCACTTGTGAAGTGTCACTTTGCTATCGGACCTCAAGGCCTGATTGCCAGGGGTCAGAGGAACTTTTGGGGGATCAATGGGAAAGAGAACAGGGTGAAGAGGTGGAGTGGAGACTCAGAAACTCAGGATTTTCAGCGAGTAGAAGTGAGTTGTTGATAACAAATGTCTTCGGGATTTCCCTGAAGAGGCGATTTGTTTGATTTTCTCCCCTTAGGTTTATTCAGACAGGTTAATTTATCCTCGACTTAGAGCTACTTAGTGTCTGTTGTTGTTTCAGGTGGTGTTACCTCCCACGGGGGAGATAACACTCGCTCCAGCCATAGAAACCAGACATGTGTAGCTTTAAATGCTCATAAGGGTAAAGTCACACCCTCCGCTTTGACGGTGGATACAAAATGCCTCCTGATTTGTCTGTATTCAAATAAACAAACCCTAATTTGAGATTCAAATGCTTTCAGCATCCAGACATGTGAGACAATTGCAAACCCTTTGTATCAAAAAAAAAAAAAATAAAAAATCGATAGACGCACACCAAATAGCTTTTTCCCTTTTGTCTATGAGCAAACTAGTCATTTTGTCAGGGATGCTGTGACACAGACGGCTCAGTGGCAGCCCGTTATCATCGAATCAAACGTGACAGGAGGGAGGCAGAGGCATCAGACAGAAATAACCCTTTTCCTGCCTGCCATTTATCTCCAGCAGGATGAGGGCTCTTTAAAACACAGGCCAAAGGGCCACTCCGCCGGCCCCTGTTTGATGCTGTCATGTGACAAGGGCTTCTGCTTTGTGTCTTATCGCTGTTTTTGGCATGTCTTTCAACTTGGAAATATTCTCAATGGACAAAACGTGCAGGGAGTCATGGAGGGGGGAAAAAAAGTCTACAGATGCATGTTGTGAAAGTTGGAGCAAACCAGGAAGTGCTTATATATTATACTTGAGGTCAGGTTAGTTATTTACAGTTTTTAGTGTCACTGCCTCACACAATAGACGTCTGTGGAGTCCCTGGTATCTCGGGGGGGGGACAGGGTGATGTTTGCAGGGCAGTTTTGGCACACGTTCTCCTTAAGAGCTCTCCAAAAAGCTTCTCTCACTTGAGGCTGAGAGGGACGGAGAAGTGGTTCACTCATCCCCCCAATAAGCACCCTCCTCCTCCTTCTCCTCCTCCTCCTCTCTGCCCCCCCATCCCCATCCCCGCCCTTCTGCCCTGACCACTGCCCTGCTCACCCCTCCGCTCGGGGACAATGGCTCACTTTCAAAGAAGAGCAGGAAAAAAGAGGAGCCCGGTGTCACAGAATTGCCTGTTTGCTGACGGAATCTTTAAAAGCAGCACCTCATAAATCAAAAAAGAGCATAATAGGCATTGTTTCTCCAAGAGCTACTCGTCCCACTAAAACTCCCCTCCCCTCCTCTCTTTTCTCTCTTCCTGCTTTTTTTTTTTTTTTTTTTTTTTTTTTTTTTACCTCTTTAGCTGAAAGACTGGGCAAAGTCAGAGGTGGTGGTTTTTTATTAGAGGTCGGGTCTCTTCATGTGGATTTGGCGCTTTTTTTTGGCGATTTTTTTTTTTTGTAGGGGTTTCCTCACCACTTTCTTTCTTTCTCCCTCACTGTTCAACCATCCCCTTGTTTTATGCTCCTGCGACCCCCAGCACATGATTTTTTTTTTTTTTATAAAAAGGATTCCCTGAGCTTGGATCAGCATAATCTATCACTATGCACATTGTAACTCAGGCCTCCCTCCCTATCTCCATGCTCCATTGTCATGTTGAAATCGGATTAGATGGGAAGCCATTTGCCTCTCCTGTGTTGGCTCTGGACTCTTTGTGTATGTTAGCACAAGGAATGACAAAAAGCTCGCAGGCAGTATCGCCATTGTGCATCGAGTAAAATGACAAATAGCGAGCAGTTTAAGTCGAGCGTGTTTGGTTTATATTCCTTGAAGACATTCAAGAGCTGCTGTATAAACAGTTTTAAATTATGGCAGAGAATTTTGAATGTGTGTGTGCACATAATGTGCTGTTTGCATTTATATCTCCAGAAATGACTTCGCTGGCGGAAAGATCTGTCATGCTCTTGCATAAAACCACAAGCTGTATCTGTTTTGATTTCAAAAAGGCTATTAATGAGGTTTTGGAAACAGCCTTTCTTTCCCTCCGTCTACTCCATTCAAGCCACTGATGTGTCAGCAATCAAGAAGATATTATCATAATTAGATCACTGGCACTGCATTAGGATTACACAAATCTGCCAACACCATTTCCATGAGGCATTTTATTGGTTACCTGATGTTGGGCATTCACCCCCCCCCCCCACTATGCCATTTCTCTTGCACACAAATATGTGCATTGATGGAGGGCTGATGTTACATGAATTAGCCATGAGCTGGATGGACGTGAACTAGATTCCAGCTTTTAGAGTATATTTCTGAGCAATAGCTGAAGCTCAGGGGAAGAATGGAGCATTACAGACTTCTGAGTGTACAGGATGTGTCCAACATTGTAGCTCCGACGTCTTTTACCCTTCTCGATGTGTGAGGATTACAGTATTTGAATGGGATCCACTACAATGGCACAGTCTACACAATGGTGTATCAGTGCTCTAGCCTTAACAACAAAGGCGAGGTTAAGGGTACAACAGTCTGTCTTATCTGTGAGAGTGCGTTCACCCTGATACACCGGGTTATCTCTCCCTTCCTTTGTTTTTTCCACCTTTTACTGCTTTAAACTGATACTGTGCTGTTTTGCGGTTGTCGGTGTCTCCCTTGAGATTTTCTGTCTGAACAGTTCTAGCTCTTACAGTCTCCAGTCCATAATCTGAACCCTTCCCACCCGGCCATGTACTGTACATCACACAGGCTAGTTTTCTTCCTGGTGCAGGAGGTGCCAAAAAAGGAAAAGTGATCCACGTCCCAATGTCAGTCAAACTGCTCTTATCGCCTCCAATATAATCTAGACTCTGCGGTTGGCCACCAATTCTGAAACCTAACACTGAGAGAGCAGAGCGCATTTGCTTTTCCTTCAAAAAACGGTTTGTTCTCAAATTCTTCATGATTATATGTCTGCTTGTAACATATCTGTGTAGGGTCCGTCGGCCAGCCCTTCACCCAAAACCAAACCCACTGTTGTCAAGTAACAGATTCCCTTTCTGAGACAAGCCTCATCATCTTTCATGCTGTAGCAGATCGGATAGGGGGTGGGGCACAATGGCACAGCTACGCCTGAGTCAGCAAGGCAGACTGAGTGTGTGTGTTTTTGTTTTGTTTTTTTTTTTTGCTTCAATGGTATAAAGAGGGGGGTGGATTATGATTTAGTCTGATCACTCCAGCGGTATGATTTAAGGAAAGATGACAGAATTCACACATGCTGAGACCTAAATCACAAAAAAAAAAAAAAAAATGCATTGTAAGGGTGAATGATCCATAATGAAAATGATTAAGGGCTAACAAAACAGGTTAGCTGCAAATAGAAGAGGAGGGATTTAGGAGGCTGAGCTGATGTGGGAAAACCCAGCTCCTAATCCCTAATATGGTTAAATTCAGGCTTGCTCATGTTTGGAAATTCCTGTAAATATTTCCCAGTGTTTGATTATGCAGTAAATAAGGCTTTTCTGTTTTCAGTCAGAGGTGAGATATCTTATGAGTGAGTGAGCTTGCTGATGTTGGAGAGCTGCCTGCACTAATAGGTTTTTGAGCCCTATAATAAGGCTAAACACAGTCAGTGAGTCAGTGATTACAGAACACAGTACACTCCATCAACTTGATTACATTATGTAAGACCTTGCTCCACCTTACCCTTCTCCTAACCTCCGCTTTGTGTCTTTTTTTTTTCTGAAGGGAGCTGATGCCTAAAACCCTGGAGGGCCAGATCACCATGGAGAAAACGCCCAGCTACTTTGTGACCAGAGAGGCTCCAGCCCGGATCTCCGCCATGTCCCGGGACACCAAGCTGATCGTGGTAGTGAGGGACCCCGTCACCAGGGCTATCTCAGACTACACACAGACTCTGTCTAAGAAGCCTGACATTCCCTCTTTCGAGAGCCTCACCTTCAAAAACAGGACTACGGGGCTCATCGACACCTCGTGGAGCGCCATCCAGATCGGTATCTACGCCAAGCACCTGGACAACTGGCTGCAGTACTTCCCCATGGAGCAGATCCTGTTTGTGAGCGGCGAGCGCCTGATCAGCGACCCGGCCGGAGAGCTGGGCCGCGTGCAGGACTTCCTGGGGCTCAAGAGGATCATCACAGACAAACACTTTTACTTCAACCAGACCAAGGGTTTCCCGTGCCTCAAGAAGGCGGAGGGCAGCAGCAAGCCCCACTGCCTGGGCAAAACCAAAGGGAGGACCCATCCGAACATTGACCCTGAGGTGGTGCAGAGGCTACGGGACTTCTACAGGCCCTTCAACATGAAGTTCTACCAGATGACAGGACATAACTTTGGTTGGGATTGATGTGAAAATTATGAGAGACTTTTTTTTTTTTTTTGTTAATTTGTTGAGAAGTTTTTTTTTTTTCTTCTGTAATTCAATGGCAAGATGTGGAGATATTGCTATATATATGTAAAATGTACAGAAATCTATTTTATAATAATTTATTTTTATTTCTAAGCAATTAATTCACTAAGCTGCCTAACCATATTTGTACATAACATCTGGCCCACATGTTTTTTTTTTGTTTTTTTTAACATTCCTCATTTTAATTTTTGAATTCTCGCGCTCCTCCCTCGTGCTCCTGTAAACTCAGTGGATTTATCGGTGCTTCTTAATGCAGATAATCAGCGATAACTGAAGGCGAGACTGGGGTGGAACATGCAGAAGCACCATATTACGGGTACAGAGTGCTCACAGAGAAGTGGAGAACACCTATCCATGTGCATCCTCATTCATACATGCATCACTTTACCTTCGTCTTCTTCAAACCCTGTCATTCTGAGCGTGATTCTTCTACACGGTGTTTCACTAAAATACAGACCCTCCACTTTTTTTCACCGTGCAATTTTCCTACACCAAGCTGCAGATCTCATGTCCCTTTCCACTCAATAACAGGTAGATCAATAGGCCTAATTGATCCTCATTGTGTCACTCACGCTTAAAGTATACAGCTGCCCTTTCATTCTCAGTGCTCCTGCTGCCTGCTCTAATGAATGACCCATCCATCAAATGTTAAATCCTATCCCGGACCACATAGGAGCCCATGTTAACATTATGCTAATTGGGTAAAGGTAACCGGAGGATCGATCGAGCCTCCGCTCTCTGACTGCCCATTAGAAGCAGTGTTGGCTCAGAGCCAGGCTCTTGCCCCATCCACTCAGTTCAAAGGTCACACAAAGTCTCAATCAAATTTTCCTTGAGCGGCATTTGATTTGTTGCGGAGAGCAGAGCTGGAGCACAGCGGGTTCAGGGCGGGGGTATGTGCCTTGTTTTCACGGTAAGATGGGAAATCTTTGCGTGAGGTAGCAGAGGCATATCTGTCAGAAATCGAGCATGAAGACAGAAGGGATGACAGACAAACAACAACTTGGCTTCACCCCACTGAAACAGCACCTTCCTTCAAACAGAAGTCCACCAGGCCCCGTCTTAGATCCCAGACTATAGAGATCAAAGCAGGAGGAAAGGTTTTTTGTGAAGCACTCTCAGCACAGCAAGAATTGCCTCAGGCAGGGTTTCGTTGTCTAACCTCTGTAGTGTCATCAGAAAACCTCATGTGCCATCGTCCATGGCCTATATACTTTATGCCTTATTCATCCTCATCATCCTCACATGTCGTGTCTCTCCACAACCGATCTCAACTCTCAACTTGTTGCCAAAAAAAAAAAAAAAAACCTTTTGGGTTGATATCATGTTTCGCTTGCCCCCCCCCTCCCCACTCCTCCTTCCCCTGCCATTGCTTCTTTGTTTTTGTCTTTCTGCTTGAATTCTTGATATGCAAGAGGGAGAAAATGCGTAGTTATCATTCTTTGATGTGCTGCCCCGTCTCATTGCAGCGGGTGGCCGCGCTATTTTAAGGGGGCACAGGGCGACGGCCATGTTATATTCTGTGCTACGCTATTGCTATGCATGCTCAATGTGGTGGCCATTATGAAAATGCAGGGATAATGGGAAGGGATTATTATTAGCGTCCAGAGGAGGGCTTCATGTGTTTAAGCGGAGCCCAGAGTGAATGTACACAACCTACCCTCACATCGAAAAGTCCCTCGAGTCAGTTTTAAAGGTCAGATTGTCACTCAGCTTTAGTTGAAGTTAAACTTGATTGTCCTTCTTTCCTTTTTGAAGTTAAGGAAATGTTGTGCCTCTTTAACTCTCCTATCCAACACAGTTAGCCTGCTTCTGTCATTAAAAACAGATAATGACCTTAACTCAGTTTTCTCTTATTTTCCAGTTGAAACCAGCTGCCTGGTTTAGCCTCAAACCAATGGTAGCAGGGGAGATGGAGGCTTCTTACACTGTATTTTTTTTTTTTTGTTTTGTTTGTTTTTGTAGTTCTATCCTTTCACTATGCCTGAGCGATGATTCTCATCGTGAGGATTTTAAGCCTTCGTCTCCCCTTCTCTCATTAGTGCAATGTTTGATTATTGAAAAAAAGCATTTACGGTGACCTGTCTTAGCAAGCTGTTGCATTGTAGAAGGAAAGTCTGACATCTTCCCTGTAGCTGATGGAGTACTGCATTTGAGTTATGGTCAAGTTCATGTAATTGAGGGAATATCTAAAAAAAAAAAAAACAAGGAAAAAAAAAACTTGCACTCATGGGTTTACTCCATGTGGCTGCATCGGTTATGGTTGAGTTTTATTCAACCTGTTTTGAGATCTAAAATGTTTAGAAATGTTTGTCTTACCCGCATATAATATGTATTTAGTCTAGCAGATCTGTATGTACAAAAATAAAAAAGACATGTAAATCAAGTATTTTGTGGTATGTACATCAAAGGAATTAATTTTACACAATGCAAAAGCAAAAATGGAACAGATGTTTCTAGATGATTAAATACTGAACATTCATAATATTTCTTTGTATGAAGAAATGAATAAAAAAGTATATATTTTACCAAAACCTTTTTTGTGTCTGACTTTTATTTGCTTGATCCTCTCGTGGAGTTTATTGCACAGATGGCAAATGACACACTCAAATGTAAGAATTTCTTTATGAATACCTCTAAAGGATATAAACTTCTCATAAACTCTATGAAAAAGGGCATTAACTGTACTTTTGATGGGTTAGGAGAAAAACCTTTAAATTGTTTCTCAGTTCTGACACGGTGAAATTCTGCACCTGCAGTCTCTCTTCCTTTCACTGAGCTGAAACCTAACAATTCAAGTCCATGTGTGGAATTTTTTTTTAACTTCCATTTGTTCGCCCATATAACACACATGCACACACACAAAGGAAACACATTCAATTATGGTGCCAATTACATTTAGAACAAAAAATATAACAGTGACAGAAGAAATGTGCTCGTAACTTTCATTGGAAATACATCCCCATACAGAAATGTAATATATGACATATATGTCCCTAGATCAAGAGGGATGTTGCCATATATGTCACCTATAAGGGGATATATTATTATCACATATATACATCCTCTGGATATATGAAGATATATACGTTTATAACATAGATGAAATAGCCATAGTAAAATGTGTATATGTACATACAGTATATTGAAAATATCTATATGTTAATCTATATTTTATTAATAGGTTTTATACATAATTCTTTACATATGGTCCTTTTTTTTATATGTACATATACTGTATGTCATATGTGGAAATTACATTTGTGTATGGGTCCTACCAAATAAATAGTTCCTATTAAAACAGTTGACATTCATTGCTGTCGACTTTTTGAAATGTAGTTTCGAAGCTTCATTATATTTGGTGGAGGTAGAAACCTCAGGGGACAGATAACATGAAACCAAAACTGCTTGCCTGGACACCACCAAAGGTGAGAAAGTAGGTTTTTGTGTTTTAGGTGAAATGGCCCTTTAATAGAGTGACGCCTGACGGGTGAGGCAATCAACCACCTGCTGCAATCATGACTTCTTGTATATTGTGTTGCGTGGCTGCTACTGTTAATTATACGGAGTTTCGTAAACAAGACATCCGCTAAAAATGTATTTATGTGACTTCATGTCGACTCTGTGGAGGAATTGCTCGTGTTTTTGTCGCGCTGTTGACGCCGCTTGGACTCAGAAAGTTTCTTCAGCCTCGGGTCACATTAGCTGTGGGGCCTTCAGCTTGTTTTCCTGTCAGTGATGTTCTCAGCTTGGACTCCCCTCCCGAAGGGTTTCACACTTCTGCCAAGAACCCAGGGACCTGTGCTTCACCAAACCGGGGGTGAGGTAAGTGCTAACTGCTTGTGCTAACGTGCATGTGTTGAGTTGGTGTTTTGGCTCTGTTTAGTAACAATTATTAATAGCTACTGGCTGTTAATTCCTGCTCTTGTGTGCAGTATTTGCATTGGTAATAGCTGTTAAAGAGTTTTCTTTAGTGGTCAGTGCATCATGGCACTTCCATGCTGTTGGTTGAAATATTGTTGAAATATGACTAATAGAGGGTTTCAGTCACTGACTGTTGTTGCTGTTGTTATGGGGGTTTGCTTTTAGCTCAGTGCCAACCAGGTTGCTAGTATGAGCAGAAACGTCATTATTGTCCTCCATTCAGCCCAGTCTCAATATTTCCCTGTAATACTGACTTCTGAAAGGAAACTCACTTTAGCTTGGCACACACAGGATGGTAACATGCATGTTTTGTTTTCTCCACACCCTTCACATTTAGCTAAATGTTATAGAAATATTTAAACTGAAATGCAATGTGTGCGTGGGTCAGTTGGCTTTATGTTCAGTTTTTCTCAGCACTAAATGTGTCTGCTTCAAGCAATGAATCCTTGCGATTTTTTAAATGTAGGCCTACATAATAACTACCTGCTGCACAGCTAATGTGCTGTAATAGGTTAAGCATCATGTCAGTTCAGTACATAGTCTGTTCCAGCAGTTTTTAACCTGGCAATTAGCAGGATAAGAAAGCAAAAAAAAAAACTATATTCTGTATAAAATTTGCTGTAGGCTGTCATCAGGTTCTGTTTCTGGCACAGATTCATTAGGGAGCATAACTACCATCCCCGTGTGTCTCTGCTGTGCTAAGCTTGGTTCATGTTTACTGAAGGTGATGATAATATCATTCCCTGTGTTCTTGTAATAATTCTGCTGCATGTACATTGGTTGGTGAATTGTGCACAAGTGCAACAGTAACCTCTAAACATGTTGTCCACATGGAACTGAATAGTATCAGAGTGCACATTATGTCATTAAATATAGACCTGCCTCAACATACTGTACATATGCGATGTGTTATGTACTATTTGAAGTTAACAGTTATATAGTCATGATGCTTCCTTTTGATGTGGAATGGTGCTGCAAATGATTATTTTGTAGTTTTATTGGACCTTTAAACTTAATGTAGTGCAGCGGCCTACAGACAGGACTGGACCCATACCCAAATAGAATAATGTCCATACCTCAAATAATTTGCTTTAATCTTATTATATTTTAAGCAGTTTGAATCTTTCTGTCTGTTTCTGCCTCCTTCTGCCTCTTGCGGTTTACACTTGGGTGAGAACAGTGTGACAATTTGACAGTTCAATATTTACACTTTATATAAAGCGTGCAAAAACAAATACATGATTTGTAGCTGACTTCCTCTTGAATACATGTGGTGTGATTGAGTGAGTGAGTGTAGGTGTGTGATGTGTAGGGCTGGAGCTCTGTGGAGTGGGTTCTGGCAAATTTTTTGTTTTTCTGTCTCCGGCTCAGAACTGGCTCTGTGGTTATGGAAGTGGGGGGTCTGTGTGGTTTTCAGGTGACCCGTAGCTGTGTGGGAGGTTTGGTTGCTGGTAGCGGTGGGTCTGCCTGCCTATCGGAAATGCCGCCTCCCATTACCCACGCCCTCTCTCCCTGTAAAAGAAGCCAATGTTTCCTTATGGCTCATAATGAGATACACCTCCAGGGCTGTTTATTTACAAGGCTCTGAAACAGCTCTGTGTGTTCACAGGGCAGCCATTCACAATATCACAGGTGATGCATTTACAGACCTCTCCATAGTCAGGGATGTTGACATCCGCAGCAAGTTGTGGCTGAAGTTTTCTTGGTCCTGGGGATTTTGGCAAGTCATATGCTGCTATATATCCCAGCAGATAAACATCACACTGAGTTACAGTGCAGTGCAGAGAAGCTCTGTTGTGTTATCAGTTTTATTCGTGATTGTACTCTTACACAGCTGATACCAAGTTGGAGATATGGCACAGTTTTTCATTTCCTGTTTGCTGAAGTTTTATGTTTTAGAATACGGTGGCACACAATCTTCTTGTTCACTGATTCAAACCTGCTTATGATTTACTTATTTTAATAAAATGATCTTTAATCTGAAACTTAACAACTATAGGTAAAGCTTGGAAGCGATCAGAAAAAGTTTCACTTACAAGACAAGGAAGCTGTGCAATTTGAAAATCAAATTTAAAACCTAATATCTTTTAACATTTTTTACAATCTGCAACTGTAAAGAAATATTTGAGATATCTTTACAGAACTTTTACTCCCCCGAATAAAGTAGTGAGTATTTGGACTGATCTAGATTTCTTCTGTTAAAATTAGCTCTGAATCATTGTTTTCTCTTTGCGTTCTCGGGGGTATAGATGCTCTATATCTGACTGACACATCCTGCTAGTTGTGTGTTCTTTTTAGGTTGCGTAAACAAAACCAACAGAAGATCCCAGCTGCAACACACAACTCTGAACGGGGCTTATTCAAATAAGGAAGGGTTAATAAGATGGAAGTATATTTTGTAATGAAACCAATATGCAACAGTAGACTGT